GAGAGAGAGAGAGAGATTCAGTGTCTCACTTACAGGGCCAACACCATGAATTTTTTGAGAGTAGTCCCCACCAAGAAGAAGGGCTAAAGTGATCTGAAAGTCAAAGATTTAAAATGAGATTCGTAAAAGTGAGAAATATTGCACAAACAACAAGCATGGAGAGTTTAATAAAAACAGAAACTACTAAAATGCTAAAGCTTTGAGAAGGTAACAGAACTCACTAGTTTCCTAAAATAGTAATTACTATAAGTTTTCTGAAAATGATGACATTGTGCTGATATTATTTTAGAAACAATATATATCTTTGTAAAAGATAAATGGCTGTGCAAAAGGATGGAACAGCTTCCCTCTCTTTATTCTGTGAGAGAGGGGAGTTGGGAAGGGAGTCGCCAGTTTTGTCTAGTTTTCCAAAACCTGGTACAGTTTTCAAAATATTTCTATATTAATTTTATGAAAGTAGTCGCACTTGTGCCTGCTTATCATTGTATTGAAAAAAGACCACAGCTTTTTTCTGGTTAAATTAACGCAACACCTCATTATTTCTTGATGAAAAAGATTTATGTTATGAAAACTTTTAGGTGCTCATTACAGAGGCGACACCACTTGGATTATCAAAGGGAGATTGACAGCAATTTTTAGAAACAACATTTTGGAAAACTAAAGTACTTAACAAATGAAAGTGCAACAATTATTTTAGATTCCCCAAACACCATAACATTCCACTGAGGCCATAATAATAATAAAAGAAAAGGGCAGTACCAATGAGTTCCTTCCAAACCCAAGTTTCCTCTCTATATCTGCCATTTCGTAACAAACAACAAAGCCACCCTCCCCTGCTTTGCATCAATAGAAATATAATAAGAACCCAAAAGGTCAATATAAATGCTAAATTCCAAGTTAGGAAAATATAGGGCATTAAAATTCCGAACTTTCAGTGAGTTTCTGAACATCCTTTTCAATCATATAGTATCTAGTACATAGAAGAGTAAAGCATGCATTCACCTAAATGAATATCTCTGTACACTGTCCTAGCACCAAACAACAACGCATCCGAATCCGCAGTGAAACACCCATCCTGGAAAAGTTGATTACCCTATCATTAACAATACCATAGAATGATGCAGTATCGACAAAATGGCCAACAGAAATATGTTATACTGACACATAAGGATGCTGAGTTTAACAATGCACACTGTGCTTCAGCTTCTTCTAACCTGACAAAGAGGAAAGGTCTTTTATTAGTGAACCCTCGAGAAAAAGAAATCTCTTCTATAGAATACTAGAAAATTAGAACCTAATTACTTTCAAAGGGGAAGAAGAAGAAGAAAGACCGTCATCATAGTTGAAGAGAGAAAGCCAAGCTAGACAGGCAATCATTATAGATAACTAAAGAGCGAGGACACTTGTTTATGACATATATATTTAAGGAGACAAATTATTTCTAATTATATGCCCTGATAACCACATAAAAGGTAAATTTTTATAGGAACTTATTTCAAATGTTCATAAAATAAAAGAAGAGCCAAGTGCAGCTCTTTGGAGATGAAAAAGTTCAAAGCAAAAAAAACTTCCTTGAAGCTCATGGATGTTTATGACAGAGGTGGATGCCTCGATATAAAGCCCTACCCTCAATTCCCAACGTTAACATATCAAAAAAAAAAAGTGATGAATAAAGCTTAAATCCAGATTTCAAGATGAAACGAAAAGAGAGCAAAATCCATCAAAAGAAGCATTTACAAACATCTATAAACAAGGCCAGTGTAGAATAGAATCACTGCACTAAAAGGAAAATTTACAATAACAGGTATACGAAAACATGAGAGGCTGGTTGGTGAAAACTGAAAAGAAAAAAAAATGTTTTCATCAAAAAGCAAGGAGAAAAAGAAATCTCCGTACCAACCAAAAGAAGGAAGTATCGGAGTTATCATCTGAAATAATTGGATATTGACAGTTGATTTTGTTGATTATCTAATTATATGATACTGATCTTTCCTTTGTTGGGACACTTTTTTCTTTTTTTCCCATCTGGAGATAAAGAAAATGAGAAAACCCAATGTCTCAAACTTACCCATCCAAGCATGGAATTCCGAGAGCAACACCAAGAGCTTTTGCCTCCTTTATCATACATGAGAACTCCGACCCCATGTTTCTCTGGAGTGAAGTTGTCTTTTGTGAGTTCCTCCCATCTTGAAGAACCTGAATCAAAATTGAATTTCAGTTAATTTCCTTCATTCTGAGAATTGAATTTCAGTTAATTTCCTTCATTCTAATGGGAAATTGACAACCCCAGTGGACTAAAGCACCGCAGCCCAACAAAACCATTGGTTGGTTTCACATGTTATTGAAATTCGAAACGGAGAAGAAAGAAAATTGGGTTGATGCAGAGATTGCTCACCTCACATTCCGTACCCAAACGTTTTCTATAAGTGGACAATTTGATTGCAGGGATAGATCCATCTAGCACAATAAAAAGAACCCATATTAAAAGTTTCACCAACTGTAACTTATACAAGAGAGAGAGAGAATCCCTGACGATACAAAACCATATTTAAATAACCCAATTAAACCCATAATCATTTAACATAACCAGTAACTCAAACAGTATATCAGAGCACAATAAATATAAAAAAAAATTTCTAACTATATCCTATGAAACTAGAAAGAGAAAGAGATACAGAGAGAGAATCCATGATAACTAGATTTTAAACACATAATCCCAACTAGTAATTCAAACCAAATAGCATGTCTAAGCATATTAAATATGAAAACAATTAATAATAAAAAATACCTGCAACCAAAATGAGGCTACAATTCAAAGCTATGAGAGTCCTGAGCCTGTGAAAAAGGCCTCTGAGATAGAGTTTCTCTCTACTTCCATTATGGGGTTTGCTTGCATTGTGAATTTGAACCAACCAACATGACAGATCTATGCATACCCTTTTGTTCCTAGAAAACAAAATAGAGAGAGAATGAGCTGATAAATAATGCAATGATTGGGAAAACATGAGAGAGAGAGAGAGAGTAAACTGGTAGAGTGAGAAAAGACTCACTGGAGGTGATGCAGAGGGAGAGTTTGTTTGCAAGACTCCAAGATATCCCAGAGCTTCTTTACACCCATCCATCCACTCTCTCTCTCTCTCTCTCTCTCTCTAGTACTTA